CTCGTCCCTGTTTTCCTCCTCTAGAATGTGCTTAGCAAATTTCCGCCATTGTTTGATTGTTTGAAAGCACTTGAGGCATGTGAGCTACCTATATTGACTTGTGTAATAATAGTATAAATCCTGCTTTATTTTGGAAACATATACTTGAAACACTTTGATGAAAATGATTTGGCCATCATCTGGAGATGAGTGAGTGAAAGGAGACGTGCACATTAAAGGGATAACAGCTCTTCATTTTGGTGGGGAAAGTGTCATAAAACGGATTTTCCTAGGGTAAGGACAGTTTCCTATACTTTCCAATGGTTAGTGAATCTGTTCCAGCATTCAAAGTAAGTTGATTGGTTTCTTTGAAAAAGTGTGGTTTTTGTTATAATCTCTTAAGAGATTATGGCCATCTATGAGGGTCTGCGTGGTCCAATGGCTAGCACAGATTTCAGAACAATTGAAATAACTGCTGATTTTGTGGTAAAATGGAATTTACTATATTTCTTTGTGTTGTTAATAATGTATTTATTGTGGAATTTTGCATCTCATATGAAGAGTTACCCCTTTAAGAATGGCTGTGCTTTATGCTTCAGTATTTTATTATGATAATTAGAGAAAATACATAAATTAAATGTGTAAATATTTACAACTAAAACACAAGCTGATAAAAATTACATTTGTATGCAATTAAAAAATACATTTATAAATTGCCTTGATTTACTGTGCCTCTCAAAATCCAGTTTTTTATTGAAAAAAAAAAAAAAGAAAAAATTTTTGTGTATTGGCTCATCTGGATGTCAGATAAACTGCAGATAAGCTCTAAATTTTGACATTCAGGAAAATTCAATTAGAACTGGGAAGCTGCCAATATTTGGCCACTCATTACATCAGTGTTTACCTTAGGGGTTAGGCAGGTATTGATTTATTGTCCTAGTTAAGATGCTGCTCCCCCTTATCACTGCCATGTATTAATATATATACCTATACCTACGTGGCCAAAAGTATGCTGTAAAAACTATTGGAAAAAAAATGGCCCAAGGAATGTGCTGAACGTATCAGTAACTTGTTTATACCAAGGAGTTATAACTCCTTGTTTATACATAGGCCAGAAGGATGCAGTAAAAAATATTGGAAAATATTGGAAAAAAAGTGATTATTTATTGGTTTGTACTGCTCATGATTATGTCATTAATAGTACTTGTATTGAGCGTACATATACCAGAAATATACAGTAAAAAAAGAAAAAAGTGGAGATGATTTATTAAAAGGCCTTCAAGAAATCTCAATACATACAGTATTAAGTATACATTTGGTCAAGACATGTACTAAAATGGCAGAAAATGGATCATTTAAAGGTCTAACTGTTGAAATCAGTGGACTCTCACAAGACATTTATTGTCAGAATGTATGTTGTGGTGTATTTAAATAAAAGATTTCTTGAAGAGCTGGGTAAATTTCACCGTGGCCTGCTATAAGATTTATCATTATTACCAACAATGCTTGTGTCATGAATATTGTTTAATTTAAAGTGAGATATATTAGTTCATGCTATCCTCTTATTTGAACAGGTAAAAAAATGGACAAGACTAGGCACGAAAAACACTTCACCAAAATTATTTTGAAGTGGATTTTGTCTGCATTCATGGTACAGAAATTTCTCTTAAATTTCAAATACCTTTAATTTTTTATTTCAAGCTAATCCAGGGTAATATGTTTCCAAAATTGCTAAATGAAGATAAGTAGATAGACAGATACTAATATTAGATAGCTGATCTATAGATTCTGTACATAAATAATGAAAGAACAATACACAAATTTCAAATACATAGGTATGATATGAAGTCGGGTCCCTTTTCAAATCATTCAAATAATCTTTATGTTTATATTGCCAACAATTTTTACAGAAAAAAAAAAAAAGAAATCTCTGTTGTTCGAAGTTATTGAGAAATTACGGTACAAGTTCAGTCAGTGGTTTTATCAGCTGCATGGTTGATCAGCTGTTTCCAGGGAAGACAAGCTCCTGGGTCCTGGTTACAGACAATATGGAACTCACTGATATGGCATGTTCATATGGCTTTGGAAAAAAAAGAAACATACACCCCATTTCCATAGATTTTTAGATCGATCTATCCCTGTGGGGAGTTTTACTAGATTACTGTCAGCTTGGCCGGCTTAAGCGTCTGTCCCGCCTACTAAAAGCTGTAAGGGGGTAATTAACTATGGTGTCCGCTCGGCTGACTGCAATTTAGCCTGAACCCCCAGGGAGTTATGTCGATCTAAAACTTAATCTTTAGATCGATCTAAATCTCTGGGAAAGCACCCATAAATGAACTGAGAGCTGTTTCCACTAATAATCTTTATACCAAAAGTTGGTTTTAACTTCAAGACAGAAAATTCTGCAGTGGTTTATTAAAATAGAACAGTTATTGTTCTGAAACAATTTTTTTTTTGTAAATCAGGTGCAATGTTGTACTAAAATGGAAGGAATGTTGATTTATTTCATTCAATAGGTAGACTGCAAGTTTTGGTGCAAAAGTCAGACCAACATTCCTCTGCGTAAACCAGCCGTAGGTGACATCAACTAGACCATAACCGGTCCATGTTTTATCCCTGTCTGAATGCACCCACAATGACATGAGTACATACAAGAAGCTACTTTGCAATGCATGATTTGCTGTTCAGAATAGAGACAAAAGCCTCGCATGCATACTATTACCTGTGACTCATTTCTTACAGTCAGATGTGTAAGTATGAACAGTAGTTGTTGTGTGTTAAATGGGGTCAGGGGGCATTTATGGAGTCTGGGGGAAAGGGGGGGGTGTGGGAGTTCAAATTTACCATCCAGACTAGTAAATGTTGGACACTGAATGTTAGAGGATGGGAGAATAGGGCTTTTATTGTGCTCTAATTGTCTAGATTGAACGAAAGGAATGTTTTCAAAGTTAAGTGCTTGAAGTCTTCTGGTATTGTTAGATACAGTCCTCAGCTAGTTCATGTTTAATANAATTTTCAATGTGTAATTCGGTTTCGCTTAGCGTGTGTGAACGCAATACCGAATCGAATTCCTCACGAAAAATTCGGATTATAGAAATGCGCATTTTTGCAACTGTAGTGTGAATGGGGTATAAGTCTGCTGTCAGCTAAGGGCAGGAGCTGCAGAGTAATGTGAAGTTATTCAGGGAAAAATGTAGTCTGAACTCTGAGATGAAAAATTTCAGTCTACTTTGACCATAGACTATATAGTTGTAGTTCATGATGAAACTCGTATTGCTTTTATGCGTATACATGCACACTGTCACACATGCACTAACAATATGGTAGTCTAAATGCTACCAGGTTCATTTGTAGAGGTTTGTATTGGCATTCTTATATGATTAATGCAGAGATATAATTTGATATGTTCTCTCTCCAACACACACAACCCCCCCCTCTCTCTCTCTCTCTCTCTCTCTCTCTCTCAGGCATTCACAACACTTAACACTTTTTATGCCACTTAAAAGTCAATTTGTGTAGACTAAATAGCCTGCGGCAACTGAAACTCAGTCTGATTTTTTTTGCCTATATTTCTATTAAGTCTTGGCATGTGGTGCAAGGGCACACGAGGTCACCAAATGGTGGGGTTCCAGTACATTTGCCATTCAAATTGCCCTCTTTGCTGAAGGTGGGGTTTTCTTACACTTTTGACTGTGTCCCCCCCATTTTAGTCTTCTCTGTTATCTTTGTGGTATTATATTGATCAGTTTTTCTCTTTCCGTGACATTAGTTTTGTGGTCAAGAGTGCAAGACAGCTGTATACTTGTTGCGTTCACACCTGGAATAAGTTGGGTCAGAAGTAGACAATAGTATATTCTTCACCTGATGATGACCTAGAAGCTATTGAGGATGGGATATCGGAGAATGGGGTGAACTATATATGGGTGAGGATTGGCTGAGGGAGTTGGGGGGGGGGTGTAGAGAGATTGGATGGGAAAGGTTGGTGGGGCAGAGCTCAAGTGGAACAGATAGGGAGAAGAAAGGATAAAGATAGAGAGACATGTGTGTGTGCATGTGTGTGTGTGTTTGCGTGTGTGCATTAGGGGGTAGCGTGGCAAAGTGGCTTGTTGATTGTCTGTGAGAGAAAAGTAGGGGAAAAGAGGTTTATGGGAGATGTAGTAAAAGACATGGGTTTGGTCGTTAGACATGAAGGGGGGGATTTAAGGTCCCTGTGTTAAACCAATCCTCAACTCATCATCATTCCTGTCAACATAAATGAGGCTATTTTGGTCTTATTTGGTACTGATGTGAACCTGACTCCACATACATATAGCCTAGGTCAAGTCTGGCCACCAGGTGCTGTGATGTTCTATATATGGCGATGCACCGATAGATTTGATATCGTGATAATCATGATGATATACATGAGGATTCTTGGAAATGTGTGAGGTCTCTCAGTACCTGGGCTGGGCCACATGCTGGTGTATGAACTTTTTTGCCATTGGTTATATAGCATTAATTTACATGTCATCAAGAATGAAAGGGAGAAAATACAAATTAATGAGGACGCAAACAGAATTGGCTGAGCAAATACAAAAACAACAGTGTAAGTGATTGAGTAAAACAATAACAACAACAAAGACCTGTTTTTGCAGTGATCTGTTTCTGTTTCAACACATTAGGTCTGGGCATATACTTATGCCGTAAGCCATCATCATTATCGTCACTGTGCAAATCAGCTCCAGTCATAATGCTGCAACAGATGCAAATATTTCTTTATTTTTGTAACCCAAATAGGCTTGAGATATTGACAGACCTCATCACTTCCCTCATTTTTTTTAACCCCTTTATGACATGAATGCACTTAAATGCTGAATGATCATACTAAATAATGTAAATATTGTACTAACAGTTTATGCAGAGTTTTATCCACACTTATTTTGATTGAGCAGAAAAAACACAGGAACTCAATATTGAAATTTTGACTGAGTCCCCTTTCTCTTTACTTATTAATACAATTATTGATTCTCTTCCTCTTGTAGAATCGGTACCCTGGGTCGACCGAGAGCCTCTGAGCCATTGATTTTACAGCTGCATGCATTTAAGTGGCCCTAGTAGGAGTCGTAGCAGCAGCAGCAGCGCGAGCAGCTCCAGTCTGCGCCGCCATCGTCTCTCCATCGCCGAGGAGCTGCTACGGGAAGAGGAGGAGGAGGAGCAAGCCTCGAGGACTGCCAAGCTCAGCGTGTGGACTCCAACAGGCCAGGTGAGTTGGTAGTGAGGTTGATGGGAAAACTGTCAGTGCTGTGGCTGTACATTTGATGTGTTAGATTGGGAAATCCATTGGTGTGTGTGTGGGTGTGTGTGTGTTGGTGCACATTTATACTTGTGTGTATGGTTAGCATGAAATATGATTTCCTTTAAAAAATATGATGTTCCTCTAATGTTGCATAACCATGGCAACTTATCATAAAGGTGANCCTAGAAGCTATTGAGGATGGGATATCGGAGAATGGGGTGAACTATATATGGGTGAGGATTGGCTGAGGGAGTTGGGGGGGGGGTGTAGAGAGATTGGATGGGAAAGGTTGGTGGGGCAGAGCTCAAGTGGAACAGATAGGGAGAAGAAAGGATAAAGATAGAGAGACATGTGTGTGTGCATGTGTGTGTGTGTTTGCGTGTGTGCATTAGGGGGTAGCGTGGCAAAGTGGCTTGTTGATTGTCTGTGAGAGAAAAGTAGGGGAAAAGAGGTTTATGGGAGATGTAGTAAAAGACATGGGTTTGGTCGTTAGACATGAAGGGGGGGATTTAAGGTCCCTGTGTTAAACCAATCCTCAACTCATCATCATTCCTGTCAACATAAATGAGGCTATTTTGGTCTTATTTGGTACTGATGTGAACCTGACTCCACATACATATAGCCTAGGTCAAGTCTGGCCACCAGGTGCTGTGATGTTCTATATATGGCGATGCACCGATAGATTTGATATCGTGATAATCATGATGATATACATGAGGATTCTTGGAAATGTGTGAGGTCTCTCAGTACCTGGGCTGGGCCACATGCTGGTGTATGAACTTTTTTGCCATTGGTTATATAGCATTAATTTACATGTCATCAAGAATGAAAGGGAGAAAATACAAATTAATGAGGACGCAAACAGAATTGGCTGAGCAAATACAAAAACAACAGTGTAAGTGATTGAGTAAAACAATAACAACAACAAAGACCTGTTTTTGCAGTGATCTGTTTCTGTTTCAACACATTAGGTCTGGGCATATACTTATGCCGTAAGCCATCATCATTATCGTCACTGTGCAAATCAGCTCCAGTCATAATGCTGCAACAGATGCAAATATTTCTTTATTTTTGTAACCCAAATAGGCTTGAGATATTGACAGACCTCATCACTTCCCTCATTTTTTTTAACCCCTTTATGACATGAATGCACTTAAATGCTGAATGATCATACTAAATAATGTAAATATTGTACTAACAGTTTATGCAGAGTTTTATCCACACTTATTTTGATTGAGCAGAAAAAACACAGGAACTCAATATTGAAATTTTGACTGAGTCCCCTTTCTCTTTACTTATTAATACAATTATTGATTCTCTTCCTCTTGTAGAATCGGTACCCTGGGTCGACCGAGAGCCTCTGAGCCATTGATTTTACAGCTGCATGCATTTAAGTGGCCCTAGTAGGAGTCGTAGCAGCAGCAGCAGCGCGAGCAGCTCCAGTCTGCGCCGCCATCGTCTCTCCATCGCCGAGGAGCTGCTACGGGAAGAGGAGGAGGAGGAGCAAGCCTCGAGGACTGCCAAGCTCAGCGTGTGGACTCCAACAGGCCAGGTGAGTTGGTAGTGAGGTTGATGGGAAAACTGTCAGTGCTGTGGCTGTACATTTGATGTGTTAGATTGGGAAATCCATTGGTGTGTGTGTGGGTGTGTGTGTGTTGGTGCACATTTATACTTGTGTGTATGGTTAGCATGAAATATGATTTCCTTTAAAAAATATGATGTTCCTCTAATGTTGCATAACCATGGCAACTTATCATAAAGGTGACATCATGTGTATAAATGTATTGGATAACTGCATGAATTGCTTAAATTTGTGTGTTCAGGAGTGTTAGCAAGGATGGCTGTATTTCAAGGAGAGACTGTATTATACCTTATGTTTAGTAATTTATTATTCTGAGTTTAAGTTCAGATAATTTAGAAGACCAGTCATTTAGTAGTGCTAGATCATATGATGACCCACTGGTGAATGAAGGGGGGGGGGGGGGGAAAAAATAAAAAGACATTTATCAGTGAATGATTTGCTCATCTCTGCTATATGGCACTCATGACATTCAGCAGGGAAACTAGCTACAGATCAATATCAGCATCAACCTGTAGCTTCATCAACAGACACTTTTCAGTGTGTTTCAGTGAAAGAAAATGGCAGATAATGGTGTGGATTGTCTAAAGGGTTAAAAACTGTTCATTTTGTCCCCCCCCCCCCCCCAAAAAAAAAAAAAAAAAAAAAAAGATTTTCCTGTGGTAAATGACAATTTTCCCTTAATTACCAATGGTTAATGAATTCATTTCGACATTCAAAGTGAGTCCCTGATTTTTCATTTCTAGAAAGAGGGTTGTCACATGGTCCAGTAACCAGCCTTTTGGTGGTAAAATAGAACTTATTATTTTCTATAAATTGTTTACAATGTATTCATTATGAAATATGGATCTCGCATGAAGAGTTGTTATTCCTTAAAACCTGTAACTAGTCATGAACAAGTGGCTCATTGTGGACATGTTTCTCTTGGGTTAGTTATTTAGGGTCGATATATTTATAAATGAAGCTCAGTTGGTGAAAGTTAACCAGAGTTCAGCTGCGTTTCCACACAAGTTGTGACGGCTTGGCTTTGCATGTATCAGCTCAGCAGATTGCACAGGTACAATGTTTGGTTACAGTCTGCTTAAATAAAGTAAGAGTCCATCTTTAAGGGATATAGTACTTTATTGAATGACACTCTTTTTATTAAACTTGTCACAAGCTCATGCAGCAATAAGCTTTCACAGCTTTAATCATATTAGTTTAATATTTCAAAGGAACTAAGAAATAATTTAGTTCAACCCAGGTTTACTAGAAATGGTCTCTGGATCAAGCAAATGATGATGATGTCAATCACAGGGTGTAGGGGCTATTGATTGCTTTCCATTAAGTGAGGTCCACAGCATGGTCAAGCACTGAGCTGTGACTGATTGGGCTTTTAACATCATGATGTATCTCACAGTGACATTGTTTCACAGTGTTCACTACGGATCTTTTTAAGCTTAGAATTATACCCTTGTGTTTGGTGTCACTAATTATGCTGTGGTGTTATCACAGGCTGTTCTCAAACAGAAGACCATCTGGTTTGGAAAATTGGCAAAAAGGTGTCACTGACATTGTCATTAGACTACCATTGCCTTGGTGATCAAAGGTGACGAGACATTAGTATCAAAACCCAATGTAGATTTGGCTTTACAAAGTTGACATTAACACCTAGTGACCCTTTCTCTTCCATTTTAAATTAGGCCCTTGTGTGAATCTGCCTGTAGGCCATTAAAGTCTACACACAGACGCAATAAGTTCATTTGGATTTTCTACAACAGATACCAAACTAATGCAGCAGCATGGCATCATTGCAACCTATTAGATATACATATCAAGTCTGTAATGATTGTACCAATTTCACAAAAGAATTTTTGCCCAGAAATTGGTCCAGACTTTAAGAACTACAGTTTTGTCTGCCTGGGTTCATTACAAACACAAAATGGTCCACTTAATAAATAAAGTTTAGTAAAGTGAGTGTATGATTGAATATGGTCACGATATTTCCTTAAATTGAACTACTTCTAGTTTTGGCTTCTACTAGTTTTGGCTTGAATAGACTAAAGTTTGGATCTTAACTTTAAGACGAGTTTTTTGGGTAAAGTTCCTTGGCAAGCCCTGCCCCCCTGCCGTTGTTTGCGGCAACTGATCCATACTGCCCTGTGTTACCTAGCAGTGTGCAATTTTGTATGTAATAGGGTAATTAAATTCTCTTGCCTCAAGTCTGCTAAAGGGGACTAAATTTCATTAGTTGTTTATGACTACGTAATGAACGCAATGTGAGACTTATGCTCCCTTCAGGGGGTTGAAAGTACAGCTTGTGTTTTGCAAGTGTTCTAGTTTTGCGAGTGGTACTGATACAGCTTTCGCATAAGAATTTAAGTCCAAAAATTCTTCTTCTTTAATTTGTAGAGAAATCCAAAGTAGTTCCCCTAAAATATGATAACTGTTGATGTAAACAATTATTTTCCCACTTATAAACAGGAGGAATATTTTTATTTAATTGAACCAAAGTGGGTAATAGTTGACTAGGACTTTGGTCTTACTGAAAAGTAGAGACTAACTTTTGGTTTAAAAGTTCTTTTGTGGAATAGGGCCCCCGAGTTACTTAGACAACTGCTCTTTTAAGCATGGAGGATGGATTTATCAATGAAGATTCTATGCAGAAAACACCTTCTAGTTTCTTGTTATACTGCACAGCTGAACCTTGATGAGCACTCCATGCATATCTGTGGTCTGTGGGGGACTTTCAGGGGCAGATTCAGAGATATTTTCTGACAGTCTTCCAAATTAACTTGAACCGTTTATCCATCCTCCATTTTTGACCGTCTTCCGACAGAAAAAATAGATACCCGTCAATGTAAACTTGAAAATCTGACCGTTTTCTGGAAGACCCAGAAGACGGCCTAAATCCACCCCTGACGTTCCCAATGAATTTCATCCAGCTAGCTAATGCTCACTAACTCCACAAGAATACTTGTTGAATACAATCAGATTAACAGTCTAACATCTCAATTCATTTATTTTAAATGCTTGAAGTTGAAAGAATACTTCTGTCTCCCTTATTAACATCACCACTCCATTTATATTTATATATTTATAATCCTTTAGTTATTTCTGGTATTAATTCATTGTTCTCCATTTTCTATCAGAGCATTATGTTGACGTAATAGCATCATCTACATTCCCAGGTGCCCTTTCTGTTTATAGATTTTTGATCACAATATAATACACTTCCCCCTTAGTAGTTCACACAACACTATTATGTTTATAGTTACATAACTCTCACCATGTACTCACATTAGCATATTTGGATTTGTAATTTTATTTTGTAACTGTTGGAGTAGCAAGAATGGAGTCGTACATGATTTAGTTTTGTGGAAACCAAAGCTTGGTGACAGAATCAGGGATGGACATTTCCTCGAGCTCACGTTTGTCGATCCTTTTGAGGCTGGAATTCACAGAAATTGTTTCTGCTGCTGCTGTTGTATAGAGATGAAAGAGAATTAAGTTTGGAAAATGGTATTTGCATGATGGATTAAGTCCATTCCTTGGCTGAAGGAAAAAATTTGATGCACGGAGTGTTAAGCCAATACATCAGTGTACCATTGACCAATCAGTGAGTGACCATTCTGGTACGTACCATTGATTTGTTACATTGTCATACATTGTGCCATTGATTCATTTCGGTAACAACAGTCAACATTGTATCATTGATTTGAAATATATTAACAATGGTCAACACTCAGTCATTGACTTAAAGTGTGATGAATGAAATGGGGGCTCTATTGATATTAAAATCAGTGGTGGAAATTTAATTAATGGCCCCCTGTGGATGTGAAAGATGAATTGAAAGTTGCCGTCAGATCAAATATTGCGATATGCTGGCCAGGCATTAATCGATTGCTTCACTACAACTTCAGCATTGATTTTGTTAAGGGATATTGTCCAGTAAAACTGTGCTTTCTATTACTTATCGTGATATCATGATTTTATCGAATATGGGGTTATTCAGGAGATTTTATTCCAACTAGATGCATCAAAGTTGAATTTCGTTATTGTATGGACCAGTTATAAACCTAAAATACAAGACATTGATTTCTTGATTGTTTTAAGATAGGACAATGCCCTCTTTTTAGTCACGTTCGGCTGATTTAACCTAAGTGGAAGTAGATAGAAATATTTGGCCTTTAAGTTAAGATTAAAGTTTAGCTCTTGTTTTTCTGTTAAACTGCATGGCTAGTAGCAATACAACATGTTGACAGTGTTTGGCAGTGTTCTGTCTGTGAGGCAGCAGTTGGGGGTGGGGGATGGGGCGGGGGGGGGGGGTTGTTCTAAGTTTCTAAAACTCCTTTAATAACCATCAGAATGTTTAACCTTTTGGCAGTTAACTTTGCATAAAGTACAGACTGTGAAGAAGAGTTCCCCGTCTTCCATTTGTTTAAAAAGGAAAAATCATTTCTTGCTTGACCATCAGCAGAAGGTTACTAGTACAGGGTTATCTAGGAAAACAAGATCACCTTCAGCTGGAATGAAACTGGAGGTTAAGTATTAGAAATATTTCCAGCAATTTTTTTTCTAGAGACCAAATCATTCCAAAAATTTGGCATGTGTTAGCAGCCGATAAGGCTGCTGCTCTCTACTAGCTGGTAGTGCCCAGCAGCCATTTTTTCCTAGTTATTGATTTTAAGCATGAAATGACGACTGAAGATGACTGACGCAAGTTCATCATCGTCATTCTTGATAAAATAACTTTAGGGGGTTTCTTCCATTTGCATCATGTCTCTTTGGTGTTCATCAAAAGAACTGCTGGGCTTCTTTGATAGTGGTATTTTATTGTGTCTGTACATGTGGCTTGCCGGGAGGCGATAGCTTATCATACAAATTATTGTCAGTTTTATACACTGTCAGACGTCTTTAATTTCGAACATTGCTGTGAAGAGGGGCACTTTTCCTTCTTAAATCTGTCTTTTCAGCTCTTGGATAAAATGCACAAAAAAGGAAAGAAAATACATCTATTTTTATCTCAAAGACTTTTGCAAGAAAAACAAGGAAGATACATGTTTTCTTTGACCTCAGATTTTGAACATGAAGTACTTATAGTCTTTGAAGCATTTCTAGCATAAATATTGTTACCATTGATTACTATACTGGCTAAGTCAATTAAAAATGTTGTGAAGGAAGAAAAGACATACAGGACGAGGGGTGATATCAAAATGTCTTTTGGAGCATTTGCTTTAATAATGTGCAATTTTGTTATTTTCTCTCAAAATGGGTTTTATAAATTGGGCCCCTGGGGGAAGGGGGGGGGGCAGGGGTGCATGCTTGTGTGCATGTTTGTATAGTAAGTGTAAATTATTTTGTGAATGCCTGTCTACATGTGTTATCGTGTGTTGTTCGTGTAATATAATTTTTGTCGATTGTTTGTTGTTCATATATAAGTTGGTGCATTTGTGTAGTGTTCATGTATGTATGTGTGTATTTGTGTATTGTTCATGTATGTATATGTGTATTTGTGTATTGTTTATCTAGTATCTATATACTGTGCACATTTAGTAGTGTGATATAAATGTAGTGATCTATCCAAGAACAGCTGATAAACAATAGGAATACTTGATCCCCACATGTGCAGCTCAATCCCAGTATGAATAAGTAACAAACACTGCAATTTCGCTCTAGAGATAATACAATCAGCTTGCCTCCTTTTTTTCTCGCAATTGGATTTATTTCCAGAATTGGATTTATACCAAGAAAGCCAGAATTATTGCTACAGCATGGGCCTGTTTTACAAAAGGAATTCCTACAAGAAGATGGTCTTAAAGTCAAGTTTGGCCTACTGCAACTTTAAAAAAAAAAAAAAAAAAAAAACATGGCTTAACCCGCTAAAATGAAGAAACTCAAACAGTAAATAACTGTTTCTTTCCTTCCATTGATTGGCTGTCTTGGATCAAGGTACACAAAAAGTATGGTTTAAAAGTTCAGACCAACTTAAAATCATTGGCGAAGCAGGCTCTCGGGGGCGCTCAGTTCAGATGATGACGACAGCTTATTACCGCTGCTTGCGTCATTTTGACCTGATGAGGCTGATTGAGAATAACGATTGATGAGTAATCATCTGTAATTTCAGTGCACGGAGAGAAATTTGTGTTAATACATGCAGTCGGTTGAGGTAATTACTTGTTAATCTGAGGCAGTACTGATTAAATCCATGCCCACAGAACTATGCTTATATAAGTTATATCCCTAAATTATAATTCTGAACATACGGAAAAATTGAAAGTAAGTTGGTTTCTTGTCAGTGAAAAAAAAAGTTAATTATAGGAAAAGAAGTGGGAATATATACTGCCATGTCTGAATGTTTTATCAATATTTGCACGGCACATTCCTGAATTGTTTACTTGCTGGCATTTTGGTAATTGATTTTCCAAGTAGGAAGTTTTTACACATGAATCTGTCTAGAGACATAAAATACACCCTGAATATAAAATTCTCTCAGTCTGGTATACCTGAGTTATACAGCTATGAGAAGTGGGTTCCAGGTTGTAGTTTGGCACTCAAGGTTTTACTAATCACCCTGAATATGAGATAGATTGTGACAAGCATTTTATAATAGAAAAACAGAAGATGGATCTCATAAATAATGGCTGTTTTCTAACATGGGCCTTGTATTAGATTTGGGAGCTCAATAATGCACAAATTAACGACTGCAGCCACGAATTAACTACCCCAACGTAGAATTTCATGCCACGGGCCCCCCTTGCCACAAGCTAAGCCTTTCATTATACTGGGATTGATATTTGGGCATTGGTGCTCACAAATCTGAGGAAGGTTTAATCCCTTTATAAGGCCAGAAAAAGATAAACAAATGCTCTTACTACAGACACAAATTCTCTCTCTCTCTTTCTCTCTCTCTCTCAAGGACAATATTTTTTCTAGCAAATTGTACAGTTAGCCTAGAAATAGATCTAATAAGGACACGCGAAGTAAATGATTTTAGGTTGCATGTTCCAATCAAGGATGCAAACTGCAGTGCGCCACTCTAAATAATTAGAATTATGGTAGAATTCAGAGTATTTTGTCTTTTGAAAAAGGATCTCAGTGTATCTGTCATATGGTTATGTATTCATCTACAGTGACTGCATCAAATGATTTTAGCTTATTACAGCATTGTGAGTGATTACTAACAAAGAAAAAAAATGCATAGCAATCAACTTAGCAACAGTAAAATATGGGGAGGTGGCAGTGAGTCAGAATGTATATCTTTCTGACAGGATATGGTATTTTTGATCCAATATTCTATATTGCAACAATATGATTAAATTGTCATGCTTCCCTCTGCTGTCTGTGCTGTTGCCTTAAAAGGAAAAATTGCCAAGAAATTACCCAAATCACTGTGGGAGGCGTGTTCGAACAGGAAAGTTATGATAGATAACTTGGGTTGTATTGCAGAGACCTCGCCTGGATATTGTCTGGGCTCTCGTAGTGGTAACATTTTGCTTACTGAAATACCAAGTACTTTCCATCTAAATTAATTACAATTTCTTACCAAATTGGTGGAGATTTTGTCAAGAAATAAGTAAAATGTTACGTTTATGTAGTATTTGTCAGAATTAGAAAATGTTTAGCATTTGGCTAGCAATATATATGTTAGTCCAGTTTGGCAGCAGATATGAAGTGGAGGCAGTGAATTTTATGGGGTTTTGTCCCCAACCTTAGCAGTGACTTCAGACATTAGGGATATTTTTGTCTTTAGGTATAAAGATGCCATTGTGTGTGGGTGTTTGTGTGTGGGTCTTTGTGTTTGTGTGTGGGTCTTTGTGTTTGTGTGTGCGTTTTTGTGTTTGTGTGTGGGTCTTTGTGTTTGTGTGTGGGTCTTTGTGTTTGTGTGTGCGTTTTTGTCAGTGTAAGATATGTAGTATGTAAGTCATGTGCATTTGTGCATCTTCACATGGTTATATGTGTGCATAAGTGTGTGTGACAGAGGTAAAAGAAAATTATCTATAGTCACTGACCTTCATTGACCTTCACCAATAACCTTGACATTGTCCTACTTTCAGCTTTCCACAATGACCTCCACACTGGTAGAAACAGTCTCCATCAACTACGAGGATTTCAACGACAGCTTCCTCACCTGCGGCACGTGCTTGTGCCAATACGACGCCATCGATCACACGCCAAAGTTGCTGCCTTGTTCACATACGGTTTGTCGGAGTTGTCTGGAAAGGATTATTGAAGCCCAAACCACAGACACAGGGACATTTCGTTGCCCTATTTGTCGAGAAACTATAACGATACCCAGAGGTGGTGTGGCCTCCTTCCCACCCAGCTTTATAGTGAACCAGCTGTTAGATTTGTTTGCCCAGCAGCGCAGGGATATTATTCCCAAGTGCTCCAGTCATGGGCAGCAGGAATTGCTGTTCTGTGAGACCTGCGACACGGTGTTTTGTACGTTATGCACCGGTGGTGAACACAACGGTCGTGGCGCCAGTGAACATACTGTTATACCTTTCTCCATTGCCATTAAACGCATGTCAGAAATATTGCTCTACAAGGCCCATTTGTGCATACGTAATCTGAACACTGCATGCGATAACGTGGGTGCAGAGACGCACAAACTGGAGCACACCTACGAACGCACAATCGATGCCGTGAATCGCTCGTTTCAGGATTTGATAGGTTTGCTGGACAAACGGAGGCAAGAGGTTTTGCAGATGGTGAAAAAAGTACACGACGAGAAAAAACGAGTGTTGCAGGAGCAGCTGGATATTATTCAGGCGGAGAAAGAACAAGTTCAGAGCGAATGCCAGGGTCTACAGTACCAGATCGAAGTTAGAAATATTACCAAAAAGATAAGTGATCTGAATGAGAAGTTAGACACTACGACAACCTTGTCAGAACCAAGGGAAAATGCTTTCATCAAATACGACTACAAGCATAATTCTGCCTACAAAGATTTTGTGAATACTCTAAATAACTTTGGCAAGGTCAAGGTCAGCACCACGTTTCCGTCATTGTCAACAGCAACCATTGAATGTGCAACGACCTTCCTCAAGTCGACTGTTACTGTCTCCACAGTGGATTACCACGGCAACCCACGTACAAGCGGGTGTGACCCAATCACAGCAGAGTTGCGGAACAACAGGGGCGAGTCCCAACAAACCCAGATTAAAGATAAAGAGAACGGAACATACGAAGTCACTTTCACTCCACAAGCTGCAGGTCAGCACACTTTGAGCATTAAGATTTTCGACCGTCCGATTAAAGAAAGTCCCTTCAGTATCTGTGTCTCAGACCACAACAATCCCATCATGAAAATCGGCAGTCGTGGGTGCCAAAATCTCCAGTTCACTCAGCCAGTAGGTGTCGCCATTGATCAGGAAGACACCATGTATGTCTTGGACACTGGGAATAGCCGGATTAAAATTCTCTCTCCAGAGGGGGAGTTCATACGGCATTTAGGACCAGTTGGATTGGAGAACCAGAGCGGAACAGGCATTGCCATGACACCCAACAACACTGTCGCTGTCGTCAACTGGAGAACGAAACACGTTACTGAAATGGATGCTGAAGGGACGATTGTGAAGAAGTTCACCAACGAGGAATTCTTAGAGCCAATTTCTTTAACAGTGAACAGCAGGGGAGAGTACATAGTCACAGACAATGGTGCTGGAAAGTTATTCCTCTTCGACACCTCAGGGAATTTGATCAGGAAAATTGGGTCAAAGGGCAACAAAGCAGGCGAGTTCAACCTCATCAGCGCAGTAGCAGTCAATAAGGCAGATGAAATCTTGGTTGCTGATAATCGTCTTCAGAAATTCGGCAAGGACGGGCGCTTTCTCCACGAGCTGGACTCCGGCATGAACAGCCCCAAGGGTCAGTACAGCGGACTCACTGTTGACCGCCATGGTAATATCTTGGCGCTACGCTCCGAGAAAGGGCGCAGTTATGTTCAGGTCTTCAACGCCAGTGAGAGGTTGTTGTTCACCATTGACAGCCATGATGATAAACTGAAGCGTCCCAGTGGCTTGGCTGCCACCCAAGATTTCAAAGTCGTCGTGGTGGATCTTGGCAATGATTGCATCAAGAAGTTCCGTTACAAATAAAAGTGGGGAGGGAAAAAAGTGCCTGCGATCTTGAGAGTGTTGTTTTGCGCCATTAAGAAAGCAGCATTATCAAGACTTGAATCTGTTGGGATAAGGTGACGTTTCTAAACAAAATCTGTGAAGGAAAATATCGGTATTCAAATTCAAATAGATGTTGGTGCAGAGATTCAAATGTCAGAGATGGTGGCCTAGTCAGTATACCTTAAAATTCTGCCTAATTATAAGGTAATAACTAGGTCTTTTCAATGGGCAGAAATTATCAAACTTTCAGACACATCATTTTAAAATCATAAAAATTATATTTTTGTATAGCATTTGTGGTGCTTTTAATGCATAGAAAAGAACTATAAGGTAGTCTGCTTTTCAGTTTTGTTGCAACCACTTAATAGGAACTATTGTTTTAAGAAATTATGTCTTAAAAAATACAGTATCTGTTAAAATCACAATTTCCCCGGATTGAAAAGATCGAGTCATTACCGTGGAAGATATAACTTTGGCCAGTAGTGGTTATCATGTCCTTTTGGTGTCCATGGCTGTGGTCAGCAATTTCAGAAGAGTTATTCTTTTTTTTTTTTTTTTTTTTGTTTGTTTGTTTGGAAAAAAGTGGACCTTTTGTTTTTCACCCCATTAATTGATCTAAGTTCAGAAAGGGTGTAGAAACTATATTAAATTTTGTGCCACAGAGAACCTTTTCAGCGAAAAAAGAATTTAGCGGACCCAAGGGCCTGATATTGCAGGTGTCGTTGTGATGTCAGAAGTGAGGTAATTACTAAATTAAATATTGATAAAATATCACAAAGTGAAGGCTGTTTATAGCAGTACCTTAAAAAGAGTGCATCTGAAATTTCTGAAAAACAAATTTGGCTTTTGTCAGAAAGTTTCCGAATTATGTATAAAAAGTGATGAAATATCAGCAAGTGTGAGCGAGGTGTTTGAGTTGTGTTGTACGAATAAATACCATATTGCTTACACCATGACGTATGGAAATATAATGTGAAACTCATTTGGCAGATTGTCATAGGCCCCATTCAGAATAGGGGACTAACTAGTCCGCAGGTCAAATATGGCCATCCACTTGAATATCCAGGGGATATCTATTCAGTGTCTATTAGCGGGTTAGACCGCAAGCTTTATAGTGGGTGGTCATATTTGACCCTAGGCCTAGTTAGTCCTCTATTCTGTATGGGACCATAAAGTCTGCTTAAAGCTAATGTAAAGATGTAACATATATTTAAACAAATAACATGCAATGTGCATCAGCTTAACGATGGATCTCATAGCGTAACTTCATACATAAGTACCATGACGAAAAGTGATAGAGGACTAAAAGTGATAGAGGACTAAAAACAAAAAATACAAAATATTGATTTGGCCAAAAGAAATCTAACAACTTCAGTGACAGGTTATGCCTAGTATATCATGCTTTGGTTTGCGAAGCAATATATTCGTTGAGAAAATACCAAGTGGAGATATTTTAGATATAATGTATGTTTGACTGTATTCCTCAAGCCTCAACAGAATTTAGGTTAAAATCAGAATGGTGACATTTTATAATGTGTCATTTTTTTTCGTCCCATTCTCACCCTCTTGTTAGTTCTGCGATTCAGTTAGTTGTGCCCTAATGTTTTTACATGCCACTGCCTTTATTGTTTTACTCCCAGTACCAGGGCTTGGGATTGTTTTATTTCTGAAACCTACATATAAAGATACATTTATTTAGTAGTTTGTATAACTTAGGGCTTCACTAGATTGTTAGCAAAGAGAGATTGAGACTTTAATTGAAGTTTTTGCCAAATTGCCTAGTGCCCTTATTGTAATGTTTGGTTTGGGTAAAAGTTTGTGATTTTAGAGTTTAACCAATTGCAAAGAGTGCCAAAATTATTGAATATCCTGTCATTTCTGCATTTGGGACAGTTTTTTTTTTTTTTTTTTTTTTCTGTGAAATCAATACCATTATTACAAGTTGTAAAAGGGAGAAAATGAAAACCAAACAGATACTGTACTGCTCTGAGGATTAACAAATTCTCAGTTACCAGTGAATTAATAGGCAGGTCACAGGGTTTAACTTACTCTGAAGTGCCGAGTAGCTAAATATCATCATTTTCTTTAAGAGCCTTGCAGTGTTGTACATTTGAAGGTTTGCTGTCCAGTTATGGTTAATTTGGTAATATGTGTACACTACTATACTACTGCTGTTAAACATAGCAAACTCTTGTGTGTGAATTATCGGGTGTTACCGGCTTAATGACTATGTAAGTGTAAAAAAATGGTCTAAACAAAGCCTGTTGAAAGTTTAAACTAAGTTACTAAGTATATTTTAAATTTGGTCAGACAAAATCCTTTGCAGCCATGGCTTATTTCAAATAATAATGACTAAAGTTGAAAAATTAAATGGTCTTAGCAATGACTGCATGTAATTTTGAGTTACATGTGCATGAGAAAAAGTTGGTATCAGTCTAGTCTAACAACTTCAAGGTTGTTTTTAACATGTTATCAGTGTAATCAGTACTTAAAACCTGGTACGTGGACAAATGTTTGTGCATTTCAAGAGAGAAGTGAATGGCAGAAGGAGTGGTTACATGGAATCCTGAAAGCATATGGAAAATGAGAAATGTCAAGTTTTGGTGAAGTATTTTCTCCATTGGAATAAAAATTTTGGTATAAATATAACAGTTATCGTCACTGGAATAAGTAAAATGTTACATGTCTTATATAATGACAGCAAACGGTGTTACATATATTTCTGTTACAAATAAGTGTTTCTTTAAAAATTCATGTAGCTATGCTGGACAGAATTTCATATTGGAACTGTATGGGCATAGTTTTGAATTACAATAATTACTCAATCTCAATAGCATGAATTAATAATTTCTCCCTGAATAATTTTTTTTTTTTTTTTGTAAAAGTACTGAAAAGCAGTTGGCTTCGTTTCAGAAATGACATTCTTGTGAATCCTAAACATAAATTTTGAAAAAAAAAAAAAGAAAAATAGTGATTTTTCTGAAATTATTTAATTATTACAGAATTATAATAATTATTGCTGACTTAACCCAGGGTGAGAGCTCCTGTCACTGTTTTAGCTTATAATGGTGACTAGTGGCGCATCCTGGTGTAGAGAACAATCTTCAGGAGTTTTACTAAAAATCGGCCCTTATCCATGTCAGTTCCAACTAAAATGGTTTTGGTTTGTCGTTATTTACTGAGAAGGATTAGCATTGCTTTGTGGATCCCCCCCCCCCCCCCCCCTCAATTACCCAACACACACTGCGAGCTGCATTCCATATATTATCTCTCAGTCATTTTATAGAGAGGGTTGTTAGAAAGGTTGCTGATCACTTTGTCAGTCTTCTGGTATTTGAAAAAAAAAATGGTTTTATTAAAAACCGTAATGCAAATAAGCCCACTGTGTGTGGCTTTCTTAAAGTCTAGGAAAGTGTGAATTTGTTCCTGGTGTAGTGATCTTAACTTTTAATAACTTCAAGTGTGTGTAGTTACACAATAACCATTAGAATAATGGAACCCAACATGGGAAGGTTGCTCCTTCTGTTTATTATTGTTATCAATGTGTAGCTAAAATTAGTTCATTTAGTTAAAATTGCTTTTGTTTCACTTTAAAGGTAAGGACAAATTGGTGTGCCAAAGATTTGAATTCAGTTAAATATGATAAGAATGTCGAATGGTTTTGTTTGTAAATAACGTGTATTAAATGTGTTGTTTTTTAATTTATTATTTTTCAAGCCTAGGCTGCGTCAAGAGGAGACTTTTGTTTTCAATCTGGTGCCTGTTTTATTTTTATTTATAATAAAGAAGTTGTATGACTGAAGCATTAATTTAGTGTGTGAGAGTATATGTAATAAAGGAATAACATGTTACCAGTGTTTGTTATTATATTAACAACTTTGGTCAGTGACCCCCGTGAGGATCGCGTCAGATTAACTGTCTATATATGTATGAGTATAGAGAAGTTTCCAATGAGCTGTGAAACTCAGGGTGGAAAACCATGGCCATTCAAGGTGTATCCAAACCCGCCCCTATAGGTTATTAAGTGACAAAGACAATGGGGGTGAAGGGGGAGGGGGCGAGGGTTACATGCTTCCCACCCTGATCACGGAGGTTAGTTTTGTGACAAAACTAGAAACAACCTCAAATTTTTGGTCTTAAATAGTGTTGCCCA